GAAACAATTAAAATACCAATTAACCGCGACAGAACCGTGGAATGAGGCATTGTAAAAAATTAATTAAAACGGATTTAAATAACGAGCTTGATATTCCGTTTAACCGCTTTCATCCGGATGAACACACGTATAATTCGTAATAACGTAAATGTATGTATTATAAAGCAGAAGGAAAGCGTGTATGAAAATAATGTCACACGCACGAGCTCTCAACAAGAACCATTACGCCCGAAACCCGAGTTAACGAAGCGCTTTTCTTAAAAGAATTACAACTCTGATAATTGAAAGCAGCCGCGGTCGCGGCAGTACGAGTAACGATCCCGTTTTACGGTTGCCAGATGATACCCCAGATGGTTAGGTACGCGAGCTTGCGCGACGTCGAGTCAGTTAGGATCCCAATTTGCTCGTCGAAGTCGTCATGTGTCTGATGTTCGCGTCTCTGTATTCCGATCGGATGTGCGATTGTATCGAATCATTGTTGATCGCGCGCAACCGTTTCTGGACGGATGCGCCAAACTCCGGAGGCGTGCGCTATTTACTCCAGTGACAGGCAAACGCGTCCTATAAGCATAGATCAATCGAGCAAATTCATCGGTTAGAACAAATTAACAGCAATTGTGCTTGTTTGGATTTGTAGCGAATATCGGTACGAGGTTTTCTAATCAGCGCGCGATAGTTATTAGTAGACCGCGGAGCTTTATGGAAAATAAAAATTGAACCTAAATAAGAATTCATTTTATTCCGCAAATACTATGACATGAACTTTACTATTGGAAACATAGGCGGTGGAATAAACGAGCTAGACTTTTCTATTACCGTTGACTTGAAAAACTTTATTCGAAACACTAGGAAGGAAACCCATTCTAGTAAGAGAAAAGCTTTCTCTTTTACGAAGAGGAAATCCAACATTTACTTTCAATCTTTTCTATATTCTCGCATATTGTGTGCATTTCGTAGGTTCCTGCACATTCGAATTTCCTATAAATGCACAAAGATCCGCGGTCCAGTTATTGGTGTTTTTTGGACATTTACACTTGGTGTAAAGGTAATTGGTCGGTCAAAGTTGTTGTTAGTCAATGTTGCACGTACGTTAACGCTTGATACCTGGCGATCTAGTGTAAATCTTGCCGTTTAGAATTGAGTGGAATACGACGGAAGGTTTGCAGGAATTGTTTAGATTGGATCGGTGGGATTCGATCAATTTTATTAATGGTCCGTTTGCTCGCGATCGTAATCTTCTCTTTCGGGAGATTGTACGTGCACGACGCCGACGCTAGGAAATGAAATCTTCGATAGAACGGGGATGTTCTCTGGTATTTGTTGTCGTGCGTACGTCGTGTGTCAGTTTTATTCGCGGACTCAATTTCCGGCTCGTGGACAAATATTCGGAATAGAATGGGAGCAGAGTCGCGCGAACGTATCCGCGATTACGGTGTTCCCGCTCGATCGTTATCAGCCAACGCGAAATTTTCATGCGAGTTCTCGATAATTGTTTGCGCTTGGGTGTTCGCGTTCTTCGTCTGTTTACGAGATTAGGATTGAATCTCTCTTTGATTACAAAGTTTCCAGCAATCCATCGCGTGCAAAGCTTTCGGGTGAAGGTAGTACGTATGCAGGATGTTCGAGAAGTACGAAAGTAATCTCAAGTATACCGTACTTTTTCCAGTGTCTCGAGAGACGCCGTTCCCACCAGGCAGAATTTTACTCGAACGGAAACGATAACGTAAACTTTCATTATTTAGAGGCAAAGATTAATTCTATCCTGTCATTCGAGTTGTAATGTTTATCGTAAAAACGATTCGTTCCAAGTCGTTCGTGTTTTATTCGTTGTTCGAGATTCGTATGTGGACATGTAAGAACTGTTAATCAGCCCCGATTTCTACTGATATCATTACCTGTAATAAAACGCAAGGATAAGTCTTTACCGTACAGGTACGATACGTTTACCATATTCGCGAACATTTACGCGAGCTTAGTTTTAATTCCTCGTGTGAAATTATTATTTACCTACTCGAGAATTCCGGCCTTCCTGTTCCGAATCGCGTTTCACGAGTTGCAATTCCTTCCTCGGCTCCCGTTATGGCCCTTCGGTTGCAGGAATCGCGAGAGTGTCATTAACAGATGAAGGTAATTACGAAGCGTCATCCTGCATCCTACGGCGTTGTTGCGCGTTATCTACAGACTAAAGCCTACGGAGATCGCGGTTAGGATGTGCATAATGTCCGCAGGCAGTCACCGCAGTTTAGGCGCGTTCATGAAATCGGTAAACTATGAGATCGAAACAAGCAAGTTCGTAAAAGCAAACGAAGGCCGTTCACAGGATTGCGCCGGGTCATCTCCAGTCACCACCGCGACGGGCTTAGGACTTTCTAAACACCCTAACCGTGAAATGTTCCTCTCGGTTTGCTGCGAACGCGCCTAAGCGTTAATGGTTTTCATCGATAAATACTTGCACGCGTACCAATTAACGAGATTTACACATGGATGAAATTTGTATAAATGTATATTTCCAACGTTATTTGTTATTTAAAGATACGTTGAGAAACGTACACTCGGGCAGCCATAGTTTTTTTCATGGAAAATTAAAGAAATTGTTTACGTATACGAGTGGTGCTTTCGGCCGGGCCACAACGCTAAAAATTTGTCAAAAAGAATTCGTAGCGGTGGAAAACACGCTCGCAGTCGAATAAATTGAAAAAGAAATTGAAATTGAAATTTTGTAAGAGTATTCTCATTCGAATATTTAAATACGTTTGTAGGAGTCTAAACGAAAAATAAGGCACGGTGGTCGACCGCTTTACGTACGCGACCAATCCCGTACCCTACGATTCGTGTTCTTATTTGACTCCCTATTGTTGGTTATGGGAGGCGCGGATACTACATGTTTTTATCTAAAAAAAACAAAAAAAAAAAAAACTAATTTTCGTTTATTTCAAGCTTTATCTTGTTTAGATGAAGCGCTGTTACGTTGAAGCGTGTTCACGTATTTGTTTGGAAAATATAAACGCATAAAAAATCGTAAGAAATATAATTACATCGCCTCGAGAATTTTAACGAATCTACTATTTATCTACCGTTTTAACGCTTCGAAATACATTAAAATGCATCGCAATGCACAGCAGGCCCGAGGTTGGGCGCACGCTTACAAACGAATACTTTTTATCTTTAAATTGGAGCCCGGGTTCCGGACTGGAAGTGAACGCCCTCTGACACGAATATTTTTGCTATCTCTACGAGTCGCGAGAACACTTTCGCGTTCGTAGCTGGGAGGGTACACGATGGCTCTTCGACTTAACGACGCGACCGTCGAGTTCCATCGGTCGAATAACGAAACGATGAACGATAACTCTAGTAAACGGGAGCGTGATTGCGTCGCGTTCGCAGACAGTTGGATGATTCGTTGGTTTTGATGGTCCATCGTTCGAAAGAGAAACGCGGCGAAGGGGTTGCGCGCGGACAAACTTTTATTATCCGGCATGGAAAACGAGAAGGCAATCGCAGCTCGTGTCGAAAGACGTGATTTTACGAGCCGGCGTGGCGGTGCTCGAGCGGCATGGGTTTGATGCGCCGATGCGCGTGCACCGGCGCGCTGTAAATCACAGCCAGAGGATTTCGAAAGACGCTCGTTCGAGTAAACGCGCGCAACCGATTAATGGGAGGAAAGATTAGCGACAACGTGCACACATTGTGTTCCACAGCGACGTGAAATATTCGCCGCGATCACCATGATTAACTTCTGGCTGACACGGAATGTACGGAGCGTCGCGTAAGACTACGAGCATCCATCTACATACGTAGTACGCATCGTCGGCGTCGGCGTCGTTTCGAACTTTACAGCCAAGTTCCATTAAAACGAGGGCTCTACTTATTTATTTCAATGAAATATCCGTTTACATTTTTCGAGGGAAAATCTGTGCGTTTTATGTTTGCAGTAGTCAGTTTCGTGAATTGCACAGCGTCTCGGAATTCGCTCGAGACCAAACTGTTCCAGACCTGTCTTTTAAGGGAAGGAAAGTTTTCCATGCATGAAAGAACAGGCTGTCGCACAGCATATTCGGATGTCACAGATGTCGAATGTGCAGTTTTATGGTCCGATCAGACGCAGCTGGTATCGAACCGCATGCGTGCCCATCGGTCTTATTGAATTATTAATACAAAGTCTGTTCGAAAGATGTTTCGTTCGCGTTTCGCCAAGCGGGGCAGTTAGAACTCGATGAAGATAGAACTTCGGTATTAAGCTGAAAGAAATTACGACAAAATCTTGATATTATACGCGAAGAATTTTTGCCACGAGTCGAGAATGATCCGCCCTCGCTTTACGGGCGCGTCTCACGGTTTAACGAGAACGTACGCCATCCAGTTTAACCTAAATCGATAGCACGAACCGAGAAAGTGTTTCTGGAATATCCTTCTAATCTCTGGAGGCAAGAGCTCGCGCAACGGGAAGTCGTTTTCGAACGCATTAAACTTTTCGATCGAACTCGAGACTCGGTGCGGCGCGAGATACTGGCCAAGAAATCCAAGAATATCGGCCGCCTAGCTTACCTCGAATTCTGTGAATTTCTTAGATTGCATTTTGGCGTGTCGTCGGGTCCGTGAACGAAGCTCCGGCCGCCGAGAAATTACGCACCGTAGATCGGATCGTAGGCGTGTCCGATACGTCGATAGCCGCAACGCATCGTTATTCGAATAAAACGATAGCCATTCCTGCGGTGAAACGCGTTAAAGTGGCGTTGAAGTCGTTATGGTAAAATCGTTCCAAGTGATTTGTGGATGTTCGATTCCGCGTCCACGGAACCGTGAAGCGAGCGCGCGCATTACGCGAAGAGGGAAAGCAGTTAATTGCTTGTAAGGAAACATTAGGTATTTTGTCCGTGTTCACGCCGCATTAGGATTCCATCGGCCACCGTCGAGATCGCTTTGTCCGGATTGAAAAATGACGAGAGAAACTTTATAGCGTCTTCCGTCCGATGGTGCGATGGTAATATTCCCGGAACTACGGAAGTCGATAACGAGGGGGTAGGGAGGGGTATCCCAGGGATTTCACGTTTCGTGTTCGAATCTCGACGAATGATTTTTGTTCGTTTGGCAACGCGAAGGTCCGATTTGGAAGATGTACAGCTCCACGGTGACCGAGTACGAGGAGAAGAAGAACGACGATCGGCACGTAGAAGAGATCGTGGAATCGTTTAAGCTGTCGAAAGGACGAGCCTTGACCGAGACACCGATAATATGGGAAAATGTGATTGGTATGGCAGCCCTTCATGCCCTGGCCATTTACGGTTTCGTACAGGGTTATCGAGATGCCAAGTTCTGGACGTGGATGTGGCGTGAGTATATAGGTCGACGTCGTTTGAATCTCGTTTAGGGTGATCCACCTTCGAGATAAGCTTCCTTCCGGTATTTCATTTCTTTACCGTTTACGTTCTTCGTATTGCAATCGATGCACATTGAGAAGCGAAGAGAGATAGCGGAGTTCTTACTCGGTACCCGTAGTAGTTGGTGATTAGAAGAGGCTTACCTTTAGATTAGAGAGGCCTCCGTGCAGAACACGATTGACACGATCGTCGTTTTCTTTCCAAGACATCGGCATCGACTTATTCATTGGCTACGGAATAACAGCAGGGGCTCATCGATTGTGGGCGCACAGATGTTACTCGGCCAAGCTTCCCCTGCGACTCATCCTAGCGTTTGCCTTTTGCATGTCTGCCCAGGTGAGTGTCCCTACCAGTAACTCTTCTTACACACCGATCGAGAGAGCAATCGGTGCACCGACTCGATCAACGTCTGGTCTTGTCGTTCGATTAGAAACGTCCCTACAGCTGGATAAGAGACCATAGAACCCACCACAAGTACACGGAGACGCCAGCGGACCCGCACAACGCGAACCGTGGATTTTTCTTCTCTCACATCGGTTGGCTGTTGGTTAAACGACACCCCGCCGTGAAAGAATACGGCAGTAAAGTCGACATGAGCGATATCCGCGCGGATCCTGTATTGGAATTCTGTGACAAGTAAGATAGTCCACCTGTTTGCGATATTTCTCATTCTCGGCTCGATCTTGAAGAAAGATCAAGGTTTCCACGAGTATTATGTAACATAATACATGGTTTTTGAACGATCCTGCAACGAAACTCGCAGAGCAATTGGAGAGAAAATTCGATAAAAATTGTACAAATTAACCTCGCGTTGCGTTACAGGTACTTCGAGATCATCATGGTGACCTCCGCCGTCGTTCTGCCAGTAGTGGTGCCGGTTTACGGATGGGGTGAAACGTGGTTCATAAGCATATTCGCTAATATACTTCGGTACATCGTTGCCCTGCACCTCACTTTTCTGGTGAACAGTTTCGCTCACATGTGGGGAAATCGACCGTACAACAGGCAAGTCTCCGGATCCGTTAATCGATCAAAGTTATTCCAATTAAAAGTTAACCGATCGATTTTTGCATTTTTTTCGATCGCAGGGAACTCAGGCCTACGGAGAACGCGATCGTGTCTTTCTTCGCTCTGGGCGAAGGCTGGCACAATTACCATCACGCTTTCCCGTGGGATTACAAGGCTGCGGAATTGGGAGCATACGGTCTGAATACCACCACCGGTTTTATAGACCTAATGGCGCGCTTAGGTTTGGCCTACGATCTCAAAACACCGGAGAAAGAGCTGGTCGATCGAGTCAGTCTGAAGAAAGGGGATGGCACCGACAGCTATTGGGGCCATTCAAGACATCGAAACGTAACCCCTACGGCTCCTGTCGATTAACGATTCGACCAATTCGTGGAGTACCTCTTGTTGTTATTGTTCTTATTGATTATTTTATAGCGGTATACTTTAGGCAGCGATACTTTCACATTTATGCGATAGATAAGTTTATAAGGAGTAAACGGTACGCGATGTTAGATTGTTTAATACTTTAGGATCATAAAATTAATACGTCACTTGATTTATAGTGAAAAAGAAATGTTAAAAGCATTGAAATGCATAGATCTAGAGTGGTTTTACCCTTTAAACGCAATATTTTCGTACGTTAAAAATCCTCGCGGTGCAGAAATTGTTGTAAAATGAATTGCGTCGAAAATTAAAGCGTGAAATAAATGACGTGAAATGTTCTTTCGTTCTCGATCGTCGTTTCAACGAGATTTCGCCAGAAGTCTAATCGAGTAATTTTAAGTAAGTATAATTTTGATCGCGTGCCAGCACTCGAATCGGATCCTCAGGAACGAGAAGTCAGCATCGCGAGTACTTCTCGTCGAAGCGATGAAAATTAATCATCGACGCAACAATGGCAGCCGATGCGTCAACGACATCGACATAGTAATTACACGCTGGCTGCTCGCTATACCAGTGAAAACACGTAACTCGACGTGTTCGCGGTTGTTTAATATTTTCCAGATTGGTGTCGGCCACGCGATAGGCATTGTACAATATGTACATGCGTTACACGCTTTATAAGTTGTAGGCGCGCGTACACCCCGCCCGCGGCCTCGTGTCTGAACCGTGATATACGTGTATGTACAGTATATGGTATACCTGTGCGCTCTAGATTATACGTATCCCACCCTCTACCCCGATCCTTGGTTTATTTTTAGGGGACAGGAAGAAAAAGATCGGTTGGACAGCCGACTGTCGTAAAGCCGAGTAAAAATACATAACATATTTCCACGAGTACGATACGAAAGTAGCCAAGTTATAGCACGTTTTTGATATTTATAACCGTACAGAACTTTCCTTCGCCTTTTATACGTGACGTTATCGCCGTTATAGACTATCGGCCGACGTATTTTAAGTCTTCGCAGGTATTTCTAGACGGTAGGTGGACGACCACAACAACGCAACGTTGCTGGCTACATGTGCGATTGTTTTAACACGAATGACATAAACAAAGAATCAAATTATGTTTCCAATCATGGATAACGGGTGTAACAATTTAAAGAGTCCGACAAATCATCCTTGCGCGATTTCCTCGCTTAGAAGTAGTATTGGCCGTCTGGCTGTATAACCTTTCTCGTCCGGGAAATTTGTTTTATTCAGAAGCGAAGCTATTTCGGTTCGTGGTATTCCATATTTATTTTAATATACACCGGCGACGGCGGGACGTTGGCACTGCCGTGGAGGTGTTACTTCGACATCGACACGGTTAAAGGAAATATCCCTATTTTAAGGATAAATTCACGGTAAAGAATCGAGGCATTAGCGCTGAATCAAGATTACTGTACTAGGCGTATATCGTGCAACGTTACATTACACGGCACAACGAAAATTCATGAAATTCTGTTGTCTTCGATCGAAGTAGGTCCCTTTGAACGGGCTACCGCGGAAAGGCTCTCCTGGACATTTTTCTAGTAATTTCGGCGCGAGTATCGATTAACGATACGAGCGAAATCGGTATCTGTCGCGTTCTCATAGAACGGCGGTGCATTCCCTTTCTTACGGCCGCGGCACGGTGTCGTCGAGTATTTTCCTGTATGAATTCGTTATGACCATCGCAATAGAACGGATCGATAAGACATTCTGTCTGTGCTCGGCTCTGATGTGTCTTTCGCCGTTAACGTCGGCGTCGCCCCGCAGGCAACGGAATAAATTCGACACGCGCACATGCCATAGGTTCATTGGTTGATCCGATCCGAGAAATCCGATTTTCACGGTTTCTTTTAATCTCGGACCTCTTCTCCTTCACTTCCTGTCCTTTTCTACGTTCGACGTTCGACTCGAGCCAAATGTAAACACAGAATAGAAATCTCGACCGAGTTACTGTAACGTTTGGGTCCTGATTTTCTTGCACTTGTCCACCCTTCGCTGTATTCCGTTCCCTCCGTGCACCACGATTACCACGAACCGATGGGCGAGCAACGAATCTCGAACACGAAGAGAGTAGCCGCACCGAGTCGACCAATATTTCTCCAAGGGTCATTCCACGCCAAATCGATCACTTGGCGAGGCCTGGCGTCGGGAATTCTTGTGGAATTGAAACATGACATCGTCCATCGTAAAATTACGGGCGGTTTATGTCGCCGTTTCGTCGCTTTTCAATTTCTTACCGATATACCTGCATTCGTACGAAATCTGCGAACGAAAGGGGACGTACTTAGGCCCAGCTCTGTTTTTCGCTGATTTTATGGGGTCCGATCGGCTTCTGGGTTCTCTAAAGCATTTGTTTCTTCGCCAAATACCCTGGTTCATTTCCGTGGCGCTATATCGCTTTAAGAAAGACGATTACGTCGTGCGCGAGGATCATATTGTCACTGTCCGGACCGTTTGTAACCGGTTCAGGAGATTCAGAGCCGCAGAGTTCAGTCTGGAATATTGGGAACGTAATGGATGACTATCGCCGCGGATATGGATGTCGAGACCTTGGTTATAAGTCGATCTATCAAGATAATCCCGAACGTAACACGTCGTAGATCGAGAAGCGTGACCTGGACACGAGAAGAGTCGACGTCTCTTAGACAGGGCTCTTATACATTTGCGTATACCATTGTCTCGGCCCTCTATATAATAAAATAATACTCCGAGTATTGCCACTATTCGCGATACATTCGTATACCGAATAGCTTGAACGCGAACGGTCCCAGATCTAGATCAAAGGAGGGCCATTACGGAGCGCGTTAAAGCGCGGCTCGAGGGGGATGATAATGCCCGCGGCGGGAACGAGGTTTCCGGCTCGTTTCGGAGGTCGCCGTGGAGAGGATGAAAGCACGCGTGTTAGAGAAATCGAGGACCGAAGGCGATCAGAAAAGACGGCGATAATGGGAGCCGCGAGTGTCGGGGTGGCTGGCAAGGAGTAGCGAGAAAAGTACAGCGAGCAACGGTTGTGCAATGTATAGCGCATACAGTACACCCGGCACAGTCGCTTTCAAGTATAAACGTAAGCGCTCGTTCGGATGCCGTGGCGGTGCATACATACTGGCAGTATTGTTTGGAAAGCAGCTCATCGCCAAGAGCCTCTCGTTAAATCTCCAAGAACTTTGTTCTCTCGCTCGAGATCAATACGGCTCCTAGTTCAGCTACATACCCGGCTACATGACAAAAGTTCTGAACTTTTGACCCGGCGGCGACCATTGTGCCCCCGACACACGTTTCTATTCCGCATTCTCCGTCTCGTGTTCTACTCCAAGTGTGTTCATTCTACGCGTACGAACATACAACATAGGCGATGGGCTGCCACGAGCCGCGGCGGGACGGCCACGGGGTGGTATTACTGTTTTGCATGCACCCGTGCGCCATACCGGGTGTACCGAACTCGAATATCGGACGCTGGTTATCAGCGGAACATATTTTTACGAGCGCGATGCCCCGTAACAAAAATTCTTTACATAACAGATCCGAGCGAAGGAAAAATTCAAAAGAGCGCCATGAATTTTACGCTCTAGGTTAGAACAGCCCTCTAATAACAAGTCGACTGTTCCCTTCGGTCCTCCCTTCGGAAGTTCTGCTTCGCAAATCTGACCTTCATCCGGGAGTAATCTCTCCGAGTATCCGTCCTTCGTGTCATTCATGAATAATTATAGTCCTCGGTAAATCTGCGCTACCGAACTAAGCTAATCGGCAAACTACTCGGAATAACCAACAGCCACGTAATCGGCGGATGGAATGTTAGTAAACAGACTCGGAGCACCAGAGACACGATCTTCGCGTAAACAGATTATCGCTGCGTCCCTCGGCGCGTGGCGTTTCCACTTAATTTCGCGAAATTGTTTCGCGTTAGAAACCTTTCGGACGGCGAGAAAACAAATGTTTTAGACGACGGTCGTTGGAAACGACGAGTGTTGCAGCGATTTGTACACCGTTCAATTCGGGGTGCGTTACGCGCGAGTCCCCGAGTCTATACTGCACACCCAGTAGCGCGTTATCCTATTCTATAATAGACGTGACCAACTGATTTTTGCCCGAGGGCCAATTTGCATTTCCTTAGTCCACACCGTGTCTCAGCTACCCCCCATTTCCGGCTCCTGCCCGACTTTTGGGACACCCTGTATATATATATATATATGTCGTATTACATATATGCGTACATACCGCGTTGTTGGCGATTCTATGACAAAAGCATTACAGGTGGTTAAAAAGAACGAATTAAGGAGAGTCCCATTCGGAGAGACGTGTACGAAGCACGTAATTATAATACAGGAAAACTTACGAGTAAATCTGAAGCCGTACATTTTAATTAAAAAATGGCGAATCTATATATAAAGCAGCAGCGTATAATGTACCGTGGCGAAGGTCTGCTAGACCCCCCGAGCTTCTAGTAGACCTCCGCCTGTCTACTTAAGGCTTAAATAACATTATTTCAGACTTGCTGGCAGTAGTAAGGCACTTGCAATGGCGAGCCGCCTCGCCATCAGTGGCGCAAATGCGATCATAAAATTAAATGCGCCAGGCCTGCGAGATCCGACCATCCGACCCGGTGAATCAAAGGTTTAATAGATTTTCGCGTGTACGTTTAAAAATAAATTTGATCGCACTGAAATATATTATTTTATTCCCATCTTTAGAAATAACGTACCGTTCTCTTACGTTTTCTTTATAATGTGTCGTTTTACCAGTTCTTTCCCCACAAAAAACGCTAATAACCTCGAACCATCCCCTCGCTCGGAGTAAGTTCCCCTAATGATTTTTACCCGTACCTTTCACCATCCCCTTTAACGCCGACGATAAAATTCCTTTCGTATCCCCACTTGTCAAGGTTACGGATGTCACTTTGCTGGAGTCTGTTTCGAGAAGGTAGCTCGGGTGCAGAAATAACAATCCTTACGAACGTTAATAATCGTAAAGATGGTAATGTTAATGACGCCGTCGGGCGGGGCCGGCGCGGCGCAGACATTTAATAGAGAACGGTCGACCGGAACGGGAAGCAATAATAAGAATAATGGAAACAACGATGACAGTAATGGGAACGATAATAGGAAGGAAACGCGGCGAAACGAACAGTACTGCAATTGTAACCGCGCCGCGAGGGTGAACGTGTAAAATTGTTTAACGAGATCATTGGCCGGTTTTTCGCGTGACTATGGTTCGAAAGTGAATACCGGGCTTCGGATCTATCGTTCTTTTTATCCATTCGAGGGATCGCGATACCTACACGATACTTATCCGTGCCGCGTTCTGGCAAATAGATCCGCGTATGCGATTTTAATCGAACGGATAACAATCGCTGAAATGGCAAACAAAAATATCGTATGGTTGCAGCGAGTTTCAGGAGTGTTTCATCTAAACGAAAACGAGTTTTTCAATCGCGAACCGATTCGACGATAATGTGGGCATTGCGAGCGATAAACGGGTCGCTATTGTTCGAACGCATTCGATATGGCACGGGAGATACTTTTTACGTAACATTTTCCGTGCTCGTAATAACTACCGGCAATCGGATCGGGTTGGGTTTCGGCCACTAAACTGCTTTTAAATTAATTTATCGTTCAATTTCAATGTTCCAAGTTCGATTCGGTTCTTCTATCTATTCTACCATACGTTGTTATCTATATGATCTATAGTACGAAATTCTTTTGTACAATTTCGGTATTTAAATAATCGTACGTGAGATGGACGAGAATTTTCTTCTCCATGTGCGACAATTTTTCCGCGAGATACGGTTCGAGAGACCGCCAGGTAAGATTTGGCCAACTCTCTATAAAAATAAAACTCTCGTGTCTGTTTTCTTTATCTTTGAGAATAAGCTCAACCGCGAACATATCGGCCGCAGTTCTCTTATACGCAGGAACAAGTCGGACAGTTTACCTACGTAAGACCGTTTTCTGCTTCGAAACGGCACGGTCTGTTTTTCGAATCACGGCTGTCCTCTCGAAAATCCGCTACACCGAATGCCATTCCGTTTCTCGGCGGGAATAAATCCTATCTAGCGTCGGAAGTGGATCGTTTCCGCGAATGTCGTTTCCCTCCGTGGCCCCTTCGCGCCGTAAAGTCAACGACGCCGCGCCAGAGTCAGAGCCGTGTAAGTACGTTCTCCCGTCCGTAGCTTGTAGCGATAAAAAATATGAACGGAAACGAAAATTACGTAATAATAACATCGACGCTGCTTGCAAACAGTTCGGGTTTAGGATCGAGCCTATCCCACTGTAACGAAACACGATTCCTCCCAGGACTGGGGCACTTGGGGAGTTGGGAGACGTCGCTTTTGCAGCCGCGTCGAATTGACGTCACGTCTTGAACATCCAATTAGACGTCGACGAAGATTACGTCACGTGTGAACTGGTTCTATGTAAATGCATGTACCGATATAACGCGACGCAAATTCGACGCGGCTGCGAAAGTGACGCGCGTCGCGCCAGCCCTTTTGGAACTTTGCGCGATCTTTACGGCTTTGAAGAATTTATGTTTCTCGTGGGCGAAAAGTGGAAAGAGTCGTAATTAGGAAAATGTAGCTTACCGAGGGCCTGCGAAACGAGCGCGAATCGCCACGCAGGGGATTCCGAATGCGTCATTCTCGAGAGAGCAGATTTTTGAATACGGCAGCTACGACGTAACGCCGGTACGTGAAATATTTTTTCTCTGCGCTTTATCCGCCGTCCGGCCCACGAAAAGCTTTCTAGCCCGTAACTGCAAAGGTTTATCGGCTCCACAGACGCCCCGCCGGTTTTCCAATTTACAGTTCGTAGCGATCGCGGTGCTGCAACATTATTGCTCATTTCTGATACGACCATCGGTGCTTTTCACTCGTGTTCCGTTGCGTGGAGTACCTGGTCGGGTCTCGCGAGAGCGTTACACCTATTGATCGCGATTCGCCGATTGGCAAATTGCACAATTTCGATCTCTCGCCGAGTAGCTATACAAACCACCCTACTGAATGTTCAATTACAACGGGTTTCACCAAAAGAGGATTTGGGATTTCGTTCCCAATACGACGCAACGAACATAAAGTATTCCAGCATTTCGGCGAAGTATTCTAGTCTATAAAATTATTCTAGTTTTCTAGTCTTTTAAAATGAAGTATTAAAAACGCAAGATCGTACGATCGCTCTGTTCGACGCATAAATTCTTCTTTACGCGACGTACGCGACACGGTACAAAACATACCGCACAAGTACGCGCAAACTAAGATAGTTGACGTTACGTTAAAAACACGATTCGTAGTTTTACAGCGAGAAGGGAGGAGGGGGGGGGGGGGGGGGCCGGGGGAGCACAAGCCAGGACGAGGGAAGTCCTCGACGCGACGTCCGCGCGATCCTAGGACAACATTTCCTTACGAGGAGACCAGACGGGCGTAATAAAAGAAAAGGGTGGAAAACGATACCGCTCGCGAGTACACAGACCCTTCAGCGAGACACGTAATTTTATCGATCCCCGTTGGTCGTTGGTTCGTTTCCGGCAGCGGTACGTACATGTACGCCGCGTTGTACGATTCCGCGATCTCCGCTTCCCTGCAGAGCCAACCCGGAGGCTGGCGAATCGGTGAAAAGACATTTTCTCGAGAGGGAGAGAAAACGAGAAACGAAAAAAAATTGTAATTGTATCGATCGGGATACGCCAGCGGTCTGTTCCACCGACGGATAAATCTAACGTTTCAACTTAACCCTCGAGCACAACGCCGAGCGTGCATCTACAGGTGGAGGCGCCTGCGCGTCGCCAGTTATATTTCGCAGACGTCATTCACACCCCCGCGTGACTCGGGAATATGCGGGAGTTGTACAGGTATGTACGTATCCGCGTATTCATCCCTCGGCGTGTTGCTCTCGCGGCCTGGGCCCAGGACCGTGGATATTCTTCCGCGTCGATTCATCCACGGATCGTGCTCGCCCCAACCCTCGTCGCGCCGTTCCCTCCGTTTTCCCAACCCTGTTCGTATCCCATTTTTCCATTCACCGCGTTTTTTTTTTGACGCTCGTGGCCTCGTTTACGCGTCTTTTGGTACCGCGACCCGCTAATAGGACGGGCCGCGATTGTGCATCCAGGTTATTTCTGGCGGATATTAAGCATCGTGGGGAGTACGGGATACGGGGCGAAATTCGCCGAACAGCGTAGAGGCTTTTGCGACTCTTCGTCTTGGTTTTGTAAGGGAACAGAGTTATTTGGGAAGAATCGGATAAAACCGAGGTCGTCGCGTCTTTATTATTACACGTTAGGGCTAGTATTTCGTTCTCTGCCTTTGCATTTAATTATCCGTTACTCTGACGTGGTTTAAACGCACGAATTGGAGAGACTTGTTGGATCGCGCGGAGGAAGATCGAAGACGATCGCGTGGGTGGCACAGAATTAATTTCTATGCGTAATACAAGTAACTATGGCTCTGTAATTAGAGGGTGTGTACGCGCAGAGACCTGAAACGCGCTATAAATGCATCGTTAATAATCGAGGAACGCAAGCCAGACCTTTTTGGTTTCGATGGATCGAGATCTGGATCCTAGGTGCTCGTTTCCGCGGCCGTTGGGCGCGTTATACGCAAACATTTTGTTACTCGGCGTCGAACGTGCAACGTTATTTTAACGCGAGTTTTCTGTGTTTGAAGCTGTCCTGGACGTTGCAAGCTTGGTAATTGTGCGGGTTAAATCGAGCGTTCGGAAACGTATGTATAACGAGACGTATAGAAAGAAAAATATTAAGAGATTACGATTAAGAATATTGCTACCGTACCGAACCGTTAGAACAAGTTAGTTTAACGAAGGACTTTTACACTATACTCCCATAAAATATACTACAACAATTTGTGAATAATGTTTCCTAACTCGTTAACGACGAAAACGTTTGTAGAAATGATTCGCAACTAAAGGATTGTATAAAAAATATAATATAAAAATAAAGACCAGAAAGTTGGCTGTACATAGATATATATGTATAATACAGAACGCGTGGAAGTGATCCGCATGCAACGTGTATCTTGGTTCCAAAATGCTCGTCGGTGAAAAGGTGGTTCTGCAACCCAACCGTGAACGTGAAAATGAGTGAAAGCAAGGTTTACATATGCCACAGTGTGTCGTTCAAATTCAAACTCATTCTCTCTCTCTCTCTCTCTCTCTATCTATCTATCTATCTATCTATCAAAGGACTGGCAGATAGCATAAATAACAGAGTGATCTCTATCATGTAGCATCTCTTAGAAATAACTAAAACAAGACCGAGTGGTATGGTGCTTGAAAGTTTATGAAAACTGATAGGACGAAAGCTCACCGTCGCAAGAGAGCTCACCGTCGCGGTCGTGGCCGTGGCTTAAATCAATTACATTAAGGAAGCTAGATGTCGGAGCAGAGACCGCCACGCGTTTTCTCTGGAAGGAAAGTTTCGCGAGAAAGAGCCACGGTAAACATCAATCTTGCCGAGTGTAAATCGTTTCGCTCACCCTATGCGTGTAACTGGTTCCGCCGAGGCTGTTTGGTAAATAACAATCTTCAGAGCCACTGCGACAACCACCGCAACACTTTCCACTTGTGTTCAGTGAGAACGGAGACCCTTGCGGATTTTTGCATCAGGATATCGGTGAGATTCACGATCCACCATGGATCGATTGAATTCCGGTGTTTCGCTTGGTATCGCGAAGGCTCGAAACAGAATCGTTTCAACCGCGTCTTCGTATTCTCATCGAGTCGGCGACGAACGAACCCGATCGACAGGCAGCGAGCATCGTTGTTAGCGGCGAGTCGAACACCGAGTCGAACTCGAACGTATAAGCAAACCCATCGACAGCGTGTTGCTATGTACACGCGTGTAATCGGTGATGGAGAACGTGTGCTTTGCAACCGACCGACCGCAGTGATAGCTTGGGGTGAACTGAACGTGAGGAGAGGGTTGGAAAACGACGTGGAATCCGTCCAACCTCACCTGACGAAGCGGCAGTGGCGCAGCGTGCGCCCTTAGCCGCGCCTGCGTCTAACCGTCAGGCTACCCACGAACTTACTCAAACTTTCCCGACTGTTCGAGCAATTAGGGGGATAAACGGAAACGGGATTAATCCGTGCTTTCGGTTCCAATTGTACGTTTCAACCCACCGATGGCCTCCCGAGTTAGGTCACTCGCGGTGAATTATTTTGAACTTCTTGAATACTCTTTAGTCTTCCTCGTCCTAACAAACTTTTAAGTCCTTTATTGACGTTTAAATCGATTTATTACAATTCAGCTCATTACAATTCGGATTTTATCAATGATGCAGTACAACGAACGCCTGCAATATTTCCACCATTGAAGGATGCGAAGCAATGTTGAAACGTTGAACGAAACTACTTGATTAACTTAAATCGAATTTTGAATCGAATTACTTTCCCGCGTTTATGGGACAGGGAACGGTATCGCCGTCTGGCGTTGAAGAGGCCGAATTAATTTCGAAGTTTGGTCAGCACCTCTATCGGGAAAACGCTCAAGTTTGTCCTCGATAGTTACTTTTCCTACTGCTAGATGGCGCTATTTTCACGGTATTTACCGACAGGTATCGGTACATTACCATCATGTCGATAAAAGTCATTGTTGACGGCGCCATCTAGCGATAAAAAGAGGAACTATTCGAGGACAAACTTAAGCGTTTTCCCACCGATGGCGCCACTGGTACCAAATTCATTAAATAAATAAATAAATAAATAAATAAATATTAGTATAATTCAATAATTAACTGCTATCAGGGAGCGATCCCTAAGTTTAGGAGCGAAAAATTTGTAAACTCACCCGCTCTATAAGCAGATGAACACGGTGACCTGCATGCAGTCATTGTACATAGATTGTAGACTTCTACCAACTTCTACACTATACAAGATGACAGTCAAACCATTTTGTCGGAAAATCGAATTCTATATGTTTTAAAAGCGAGAAAGTGTCGCATTTGTTTTCTTTTTAGAATCTTGACAAGTTGAGGACCACTAAGAACCAACTACCGATCCTAAACAATTATACATATGTCTCTGACGACTACATATATCAACTCGTACATACGTATATCAATCGTACATTTGTCAACTCATTTTACAGCTATTGTTTTGTTTGTATTCGATTACTTCACCTCTTTTTCATATCGACTACTTTAGCGTGTTTCAAATTTTTATCTGTAAACGTATTTTTTGGGACTCCATAAGCTCTCAGAAGAAAAAGAGCATAATTGTTTATTAAGAAACTGCCGTCCCGTAATATTTGATTATAACGAAACACATTTATCAAAATTATACGAAATCAATAATATAGTTTGAGAAATATTAATGTAAGTTTCATGTATCCGGGGTGAAGGCCTTTGAAGTTTTTATTACGTTCCTTTTTTTTTTGTTACAAGTTCATCAGCGAAGAATATGATAGTCAACTTGTACGGGAACTAACGGGGAAAAACCTGCGAGTAATCAAGGTTATATTGTGACGCACTGTCAAGCCAATAAGATAATATTCATGTTCGGTGAGTACATCCAAGTACACCACCGTCTTCAGGATCTTACGGAACTGTGATACTTTGTTATTTCATTTTAAAAAGTTTTCTATATAGCGTTTTGGTACTTAATGTTCGTAACTTATTAATGCCATTGTAATTGAAATAGCGAGCAATCGTTTAGTTGTGACAGTGTCTTATTGAAAAACGCACAATGTCCGAAGTTTATGAAAATTATATGGTTTTTCAAAATGCACTCGAAAACCAGGATTACTTTTTCCACAGAGATGGTAATTTTCAATCACAATTCTTTATATTTCCTTATGTATTATTCACGAGTTACACTAAACAAATACATATACAAAAGTGTTATTTTACTCACACTGTTACACTAACATTTTGTAACTGTCAGTTCAATTATAATTTTTTCAAGTAAAACTGGTAAAATGGTGTTAAACTAACTCTAATCAAATTATCAATGCTACGATACTAAAACCTTTATTTCCTATTTCAATTTACCATATAACTGTTACAGCTCGTTTAAACTATACTTGTAAAATTCATTATAAAACATCTTTACATGTGTGTTAATATAGAGCATATTTATGTATGTTTTTTTGTATAACATTTTACTTTTCCTTTATTTTCAATAAAAATATTATATTTCTGTATATATATGTTGTTCTAAAGACTTACAGGCAATAAGCAGTCAAGGTGTGTATAGTCCATTTAATGGATCCCAAGGAACGGCAAGCGTTGCTTCCCCCATGTCTGCCTCGTCATCTATACATGGTACTATTTATATTATTATTCTATATATCGAGGAATATTTAAACTCCTTTTTTTTTCAGTTATTGGAGAACCACATATAACAATTTTAAACGAGCCAATGGATAAATTTAGATTTCGATACAGATCAGAGATGTTAGGAACGCATGGTAGTTTGGTGGCTACAAATTGTAGTGGTCGCAAAAAAAATGCACCTTCGGTTAAAGTATGTACACTTGTATCTTGTTATTATTTCTGCTTTGTACCGCTTGCACCATAATATATTATGAAGCTTAAAATATTCCTGAATATATTAATGAATAATTGTTTGAGTACTGGATAAATGATTTCAATGTACCATTTAGCTACATAATTATCTGGATAATGCGATAATACGTTGTACACTGGTCACGTCTGACGACGGTCAGAGAATACCTCATGCTCATAGATTAGTACGTAGACAAGATGGCATCGATTCCGATGATCCGCATCATATTAAAGTTTCTTCTGAAAATGGATTCATTGCAACGTACGTTGTTTTTCGCTAACTCGTTAGTTTGATGAAGTCAAGTATATCCGAATTAGATTCGACAATTACATTTATAATTCTGTTACTTTTCTCTTATAAATTTTATAACAACTAGATTTTACGGAATGGGAATTATACATACAGCAAAGAAGCATGTTAGGGATGAACTTATAAGGAAAATGCGTAGTAAAGCTTTAGAAGAGAAGAAGTGGGAGAACATAAATGCAGCTCTTACAACTCGGGAAGAAGCACAAGTAGGTTTCTTTTTCTTGCTGTTTACCAATATTTTTGTTCATTTGCATGATCTTACGAATATAAGTTTTTATATTAATAAATTCTTGATTTATATTTATAAAGATCAAAGCTGATGCCGAATACTACCAGAAATGTGTGAATTTGAACAGTGTCGCGTTATGTTTTCAAGCATTTATTCTGGATAAACATGATATTATGAGACCGATAACAGCACCTGTGTACTCAAAGGCTATTAATAATCTCAGTAAGTGACACGTTATAATATTTTATATGAAATAATTTTGAATAACAGTGTTTGTATTTTTCTAGAGAGTGCATTGACAGGAGAGCTCAAAATATGTAGAATTGACAAACATACTAGCAGCGTTGATGGAAACGAAGAAGTGTTTATATTTGTAGAAAAGGTAGGAAAAAGTAAGTATATCTTTTTAACAAAAGCTATGTTAGAAACTAAAAAGAGAAGAGACTAATTTTCATCATTTTCTAATTAACTTTTGCTCTATTGTAGAGAATATTAAGATAAAATTTTTTGAGTTAAATGAGGATGATACAGAAATTTGGAGAGATTACGGACGCTTTTCAGAATTGGATGTACATCATCAATACGCAATTGCATTTCGGTATTCCAACATTTTATAAATAAAACACTTTTAAATAGCAGTATTGCATAATACTTTTTTTTCAGTACTCCACAGTATAGAGATCTTAATATTGTTTCTCCAGTAGAAGTCTTTATACAGTTAGAAAGACCATCCAATGGAGATTGTTCTGAACCAAAAAGATTCACCTATAAACCAAGTGATAGAGTTATAGGTAAATTGTGTACATAAGCTGTTTAAAATGTTTATAACATATTTGAAACGAATTGAAAATATTTTTACAGGCAGGAAACGTCAAAGGATGTCATGTTCTGGAAGTACAGAATTATCGCGTATAATGCCACCTTTTAATGATGTTGAAATAGAGAGTAATTTAGGCGACAGCAGGGAAATTTCTAAAGAATTGAAAAAGATGATAATGGAGGGTTGTTCGTCACCAGACCACCGAGAATTTATTGAAACCATAGACTTGGATAGTAAGTATAACATTTCTTGTCTATATAAATTTGAATCGCTTTAAAATGCATTTTTTTTAGAATATCTACGATGCATTGACGGTAGCGAAGACAATATGTTAACTGCCGATGGCCCATTGCTCAGACAAGTATGCATCTCATTTCTTGAAAATTTAACATTTGATTTTTTAATGTTTCGTTTTACTTTCTAGCATCAAGATGACTCGCTATTTCCTAAACACATCCTTATCGAAGTTGTAAGACATATGAAGATGGACTCAAGAAATACGAATGAATATGTACAAAAACTACTTAAAGATCGTTCCACCTATGGCGATTCCCCGTTACATGCAGCACTCCGATATGGTCAACGTGACATCGTCAAGTATATCTTAATGTTGATAAGCACCGATAAAGACTGTAAAATGCTCGTCAACGGACAAAATAGTTCTGGAAAAGTAAACATTGACCTAAAATATATTTATATATATTTTAAATAAAATTTCAATTAAACTAGAATATTTACTACTATAGTATAATTATTATAGCGAGTATAATGTTTTATTTATTAGACGCCATTGCATTATGCAGTTTTACAAAATCAACCAGAAATTACAAAAGCGTTACTTGAGCTTGGAGCTGATCCAAATCGATCGGATGAACATGGTTGTTCGCCGTTACATGCTGCTGTACGAGGTAAGTTCAATTATTAAGAAGTTAACTAAACTTTGATCGTTCGTGTAATGTATACATTTCAGTTCCTCGAGCTGGTGCTTGTGTCGGTGTCTTATTGGCAGACAAGGTAGTTGACATTGAAGCTCATAATGACGCTGGCTGGACACCATTACATCTCGCCGCAGAAGCGGGTTCATATGAAGCAGTATGCTTACTTGTTCAGGCTGGAGCTAATGTAAATAATACTGATATGTCTTATGGTCGAACAGTATTACACATAGCTGTAGAAGGTGGACATAAGGACATTGTCGAGTATTTACTCAAACAGGTACAATGTTACTTTTTACTGTACTATATAAATTCAAACTAAGATATATTTCCACTATATCTCACAGATTGGTACATATTTTTTGTTACAGACGGACATATCTGTAAATAAGAGAAATTTCAGCGGAAATACTGCTTTACATACTGCGGTTGTGTATTCTGGAGTAAGAGCAAAAGAACTGTGTGCATTGCTAATACAATATGGTGCAGATCCACATATTCAGAATCATAATCGAGAATCGAATAGTGTAGGTGCTTTTTCTTCAACAATATTTTATCACACAAGTCTGCTAAAAAGCGCCGCTAACAATACGATCGCGTACGTTAGCACTCGAACGGTTATTGTATTCTATATATTTTATTTAACATATTTAATAGGTGGATAAAAGAAAAGGATCGCATACCGATATCAAAGTGGAAGTTGATTCTGATACTGAAAATGAAAACACAGAAGAATCGGCTGGACAATCATCGTTCGATCTGGCCACGAATAAACCAGATGTAATTATGTTGTACATTATTCGTAAGCATGTATTAAGGAGTTACGTACATATCATTTATCGAGCTAAGAAAATATTTCTGTCTTGTAAAGATTTTACAGCTTCTTAATGGTCAGGCAAAGGAAATTACATCTGATGTGGGTCCAGTTTCCACTAAAGTAGAAGCAGAAGATGAGGATTCAAACATAAATTGGTTAAACAGCGAACGGAAAGAAAAATTATCCATTTTTCTAGACAAAACACAGGGATGGAAGAAGCTTGCAAAACATTTAAATTTTCAATATTTTTTAAATACACTTCAACAGAGCTCTTCGAGTCCTTCTTTACTACTTCTAAATTACATAGATGTAAAGTATACATTTTTTTATTTGAATATAGTTTCTAATAAAATTTGATATAATGTTAAATATATTAACAACGAAATGTTTTTTTAGGTACAGGCATCTTTATCTCTTACCGATATGGAAACTGTATTGAGAGATATCGGAGAGATAGAAGCAGCGGATTACGTTAAAGAAATCTCATCTACATGTTCGCAAAATTCGTTTCCTTATTGTTAAACTTTTTTTTATTCTGTCATGTATAACAATATGTAAAGTATATATAAAGTTTATTTAATGTCGTATTCGCTAAGTTTTATTAAGATATAATAAACAAAATTGTCATGAATGTAAATACTATGTATAACTGCATATAATTTTTAAACGTAATTATGAGGTTAAGATAATCATGATTGTTTGTATTAAAGATATTTAAATAGATAGCAAGAATTTTATTTTATTTTTTACCTATTGAAATGAAACATTACATACGTGAATGTAATGTGACAATTTACTGTGTTATAATATGATACAGACATGTTCAATGTATAAACTTGCATATATGTGTATGTATATATATGTATGTTATCATTGTGCATTGGCAACCTGCTTTTGTAGTACAGAAATTTGTATTTTACAAATCTAAATAATTTACTAATTGCATCAGTGTGTGCACTGGTGTATATTCTCTGGTGATATCTTGAATGCTTTGTACGGAGAAATTGAGATTATTTTTTAATATAGAATGGACCTTATCACAGAATCTCCTCGGGAAACAGCTGTTTCGTGAAGTGGACATACTATATACGTTACTAACAAAAGCCTCATTTTTGTACAAGGAATCTTGTTGACGTTACAGTGATATGGTTATAATACAATCTTCTGTTTGTTGGCGTTTAATATTAATATCAATTAATTTATAACTACTATCATATCAAAATTGAGTACAAATATGAGTCATATATTTGCACGCGGGGAATCGTTTATAATTTCATGAAGAAACGATATCGTATTAATGTACAATTACATAGTATTACAGATACAGTTTTTCGAAAGTTTCAGTTAATTTTGAAGTAGAGCATGGATAAATTAAGAAGAGCCCTAAGTGGTAACGATCAGTGCGATGAAGAAAGCGGTATTATTAGTCAGGTAATGAATATTAGTTAATTTTTTATAACGTTAGTTTTATAACACAATTTTTATTTTGAATGCTTACATTTGACAATGGAAGGTTAATGTGGATTTCGTGGTAAGTACGTATGCTTGTAAACAGTGTAGAATTTATATATTTTTGAATGTTGCATGATTGTTGATAATGATAATGTTTTAATTTCAATTTACATTTAAATAAAAAAACATTTCAATTTTAGGTTATGGACCAAAGTACGCTGAGCTGGTCCACTCGAATAAAAGGTTTTGCTATTTGTTTTATTGTTGGTATTCTATGTTCCTTCCTTGGATCGTTTGCCTTATTCTTAAATAAGGGACTCACAGTATTTGCTGTGTTCTATACATTAGGGAATATCATCTCGCTAGCAAGGTAGAATAATATATATTTATATTAACTCATATCTACTTTTTACTTATGTATTCGTTTAAATATATTTTCTCTCTTGAAACTAACTATAAATAGTTTAATATTTTGTACTATATACGAGAGATATATTTTTTGTAGCATAGTCAAACAAACAATTAAATTTACATACAAGTTTGTAACAAAATTTATCTTATAAAAATTGCTTTGATATAGATTTGCTTGTAATTATTTTCCCGATAACCCTTTCAGTTTTATTTCAATATTTGCAGTATCGAGTGGTCTATTACAAACAATCTTTTGAAAGGTTTATAATTACTTTAAAGTCAAACATTTTTTATTTTATTTGTAGCACATGCTTTTTAATGGGTCCTTGCAATCAATTAAAAAAGATGTTTGCAGCAACAAGAGTGATTGCAACTGTTTTAGTATTTGTTACAATCGCTATGACATTATTTGCAGCTTTACACGTGAGTATAGAAAAGCAAGAATCTATGATACATACCGATATAATGGGAGAATATTTTTCAATTAATATGCATATTTTTAGCTGAAAAATCCTGGATTGGCTCTTTTGTTTATAATTATCCAATCATTGGCAATGACATGGTATTCCTTATCCTATATACCGTATGCGCGTGATGCTGTAAAGAAAACTGTGGAATCGTGTATCACATGAAAATATCTGCAAAGTATGCAGCTCAGAAATACATTACTTAATAAACATGTTCAATTTTCAAAGTCTATATTGCACAAGTAGTAAATTGAACTACATAACTGACTTAAACATGTGAAACTAACAAAACAGATATGGATAAACCGTAATAAGCATTTATTTTAATAAAATACTAAATGTTTATCTGTATTTGAGTGACAATATGACAAAAATCTCTTTCAAATATAAATTTAATATTATAATATTTTATAACAATATCGTAATGGAATAAAACTATATAATTTATATATACATAATCATTGTACAGTATGAGTAATTTTGTACATTAAAATGATATTAAACTATTCATTTCCTGTAACATAACTTTCCTTCTACTATAGCAGTATATCCATAAGCTTTCAAAGCAATCAAAGAAACATATAACGGAATAAACAAAATTCTTTACACGATATGTTATTCTTATTAAAAACATCCATTAAAAAGTTTTCTATTGTTAGTAGTAAATACATCAAAAAAGAAACTTGTCTCTAAGAAGGTTAGCAGTTTGAAACCGAAATTTGTTGTATTTTTTTATCAAGATTCTCTTAAGTTTATAACATATTCGTTACTTTTCACTTGGTTAAAAGTAATAAAGAACAAAAATACGATTTCACGTATTGATAACATATACATTTTTTTTTTACTTTGATACATCGATATATTTCTTATTTCTAAGTAATGTAATAATTAGTATAACATTTTTTGAGAGAGTTATAACTGTATTATTGCAAAATATTATAAAGTTTTAAAAAATAATTGCCGGTATTTCAGCTAGTACGTTTTGATTTGAAAATTGAACGTTGAATATAAAATTACCAATCATGCGATGCCATAATTCCTACCACCAATCAGAATTCAATACGTTATTTCGTCGTACAAAGATGGAGTTCTAATTGGACGTAAATAAACAATAATTTCTTTTTCATCCTCCGATCAGCAGTGATCAGTAGATCAGCAGCAGCAACTGGCAGCAACAGGCAACAGGTTCTCTAAGTACATACAAACTACAAAGAAACTTCTTCACCAGCCATTATACGTTTGACGCGCGGGTCGTGATCAGATCGTAAATTGTGCGATAATTGCACATTTCATCGTGCTTATTCTTCTAATATTTATTGACATATCTACAGTGAGTGAAATTTTTCAATTCTAACTGTTATTGTATGGTACATTTTAGGGATAGCTTGAAGGACGTGCAAAAACTGCGAATAACCGTTAGAGAATTAAAGTTTGAAATAGAGTATTATATAAAAATAATTTTTAACATGATAATTACATTTTTACTACTATTTTTCTGTGTATAATCAGTTAGTCGTATAGTTCGTATTTGCGATGTATGTTCTCGAAGATTCGTATACCGTCAAGTATAACAATAAATTAAAAACAAATTGTTTGTAACTTTTCTTATAACATTACATAATTTTAGTTAATCTTCTTGATGCTATTAAATCATTTTCATAAGTATACATAATCTGTTTATATTTTTACAGAGAACAATACTTTATTGAAAAGATGCCTGCACCAGAAACTGATAGCCATAACCGCATATCTAGTTTCAAATTCCATAACAAACATGAAGTAAGTTAACTATATATTTAGCATTGAATTTAGCAACTCTGTTATTATACTTAATCGTACTTATGCCAAATGAAAGTAATGTATACAAATGTGGTTCTTTTTTATGTTACATAATGCTAGACAATTTGCTATTACAGGAGGCACGTCGAAGGAGAAATGAAGTATCGGTGGAATTGCGTAAAGCTAGGAAAGATGATCAATTACTGAAGCGTCGTAATCTCACTGTTAGCAAGGAGCAGGACAGCCCTACAGGTGAAACTAATCTTTCAGCTGTTTCTGCATCTATAGATGAAATTGTTCTTGGAATGAAATCTTCGGATGAAAGGATTCAACTTCAGGCAACTCAAGCATGCAGAAAAATGTTGAGCAAAGAAAAGAATCCACCTATCGATATTATGATACAACGTGGAATTGTCCCGCGCTGCATTGAATTCTTAGATTGTCATCACAAGTAAACAACATAGTAAATTTATTCTACTCATACGTAGGTTTGCGAATTATGTATTAATTCCTTCAATTGTTTGTAGCGCTGCATTGCAGTTTGAAGCAGCATGGGCACTGACAAATGTAGCTTCTGGTACACAAGATCAAACTCATACTGTTATTAAATTTGGAGCTATACCAAAATTAGTCGCGTTACTGAAGTCTGCATCACCTAATGTCGCTGAACAAGCAGTGTGGGCACTTGGAAACATTGCTGGAGATGGACCAACACCTCGTGATTTAGTTCTTGGATATGACGCTATGCCTCTATTATTACAATTAATCGAACCTAATACTTCTGTATGTATAACATACATTTATATAATTATAAGTACATATTTACCGAAGTTTATCGTTAATACAGGTGACATTCGTCCGTAATATTGTGTGGACACTATCAAATTTGTGCCGTAATAAAAATCCTCCACCTTCTTTTGAAATTGTACGAACTGCTCTTCCAGTGTTGAACCGTTTGCTCAGTAATACTGATAAAGATATACTCGGTGAGTGAACTCATATCCGTATTCGTTAATGCATGTTTAGAGTATCCTATATTTCTAGATGAAATTTTTCGTTACAGCTGATGCTTGCTGGGCTCTGTCGTATCTTACCGACGGTTCCAATGATAAAATACAAGCAGTTGTGGATTGTGGAGTTATTCCAAAACTCGTAGATTTACTTGCTTCAACCGAAGTAACAATTCTAACACCAGCACTTCGTGCGGTCGGCAATGTAGTTACGGGCAATGATTCGCAGACTGATGTCATAATATCAGCAGGTGGTTTACAACATTTAGGGTTATTATTGCAACATCATCGTGCTAATATTGTAAAAGAGGCAGCATGGACGATTAGTAATATCACTGCCGGTAATGTAGAACAAATTCAACATGTCATAAATGCCGGATTGTTGCCACCCTTAATACACGTTCTTCAATTTGTAAGTAAATCCTTTTTTTTTAGTAAACGTGATTTGTGATTAAAAATAATCTTTTTTATTATACAGGGAGATTTTAAATCTCAAAAAGAAGCAGCATGGGTTGTGACTAATTTAACTTCTGGTGGATCTGTACAACAGTTAGCTCAATTAGTTCAATTAGGAGTACTGGTACCGTTTTGTAACTTGTTAGCAGCCAAGGATTGGAAAACTGTAGTTGTTGTTCTCGATGGTTTGACTAACATTATGAATGCAGCTGAAAAAATGGGAGAAGTTGAACGTGTAGCTATTATGATAGAAGAAGCTGGAGGGTTGGACAAACTGGAAGCTCTTCAACATCATGAAATAGAGCAAGTGTATCAAAAAGCCATTGCAATGATTGATACTTTCTTCTCGGATGGAGTAAGTAATTTTACAAAGATTCGATGTTAAACTACTAATAATGACGTAAAATATATCACATAAAACTATTATTCACAGGATACCGAAGAAACAACAGTAACACCTACGACAAGTAATGGTGGCCAATTGGAATTCAAACCAACTGACTCAACTCAAAATGATTTCAACTTTTAAATTTTCTTAATCATTTGCCATTCAATATGCTATAGTGTGTTCCAGTTCGTCTTGTAAATAGATTTGCACTTGTTCATCAAGATAGATAAACCATCTTTTTTGTAATTGTTTACTCATGTTTTGTACACACCATGACAAAAGTAACTTCCATTTAACATTTCTTTTTATAGACAGCTCTAAAACTGCCATTTCTTTACTATTTCTCATTCACTGCGTATCGAATATTCTAGTATATTTCTATATGCATTGGGTTTCATGATTTTTTATAACAGTTGCTTTTAAAATCATCTGGTTTGTCTTCTTTTCAATTCGATAATATTTCAAGAAATGTTCTCATTGTTTTTCCTTTTATTTACAAGTAACTGTCATAATTTGTTACACTATGTGGTTAGAAATATCGCAAGCCACATTATTCATCACATTTTGTATGTATTTTTTAATAAAGTTTTGATACAAAAGCTGACGTGTTCATAATACTCAAGTCTTTCTAAATAATCTTGCACATATACATATACATAACGTTACAGTATTAAATGTAGATAGTTTAACCTGAAAATTATCTCTACATAAACGTAAAATTTTATTGTTACAATTGTAGATACTTAATAATAATAATAATAATGTTAAGGTATTATAATATGAACGTAAAATTTGTCGAAAAACTTAATTCCTTATTATGAATAAATTTACATATTACGTAGTTAGCCATTTTAGGCTATAAAGACTAGATACGATTGTAACTTGGATTACTTTTTCCTATTGCCTAGTCACGAGTTTCGTCACACGCGCGCACACACACACACACAAAACACACAATGTATTCATTCAAAATAAGTTTTTGAATTGGCAAGTTAGTTACGTATATTATGTTGTCATAGAAATTTTGTTCGCGTCATTATTAAGTACTATCATAGAAGTATTGAACGTCGCAAAATATTTTTTTAACGTATTACTAATTAAATTACTATTCTAGTTACACAAAACAGTTACAATGCTGTTTTTTTTTCAAGCTAATAATGACTGTATTGATCACTTTGATCGTTTATCAAAAAGTGATAAACAAACGCTGCCTTCTTCCTGTCAATCGTTGCTTGACCAGTACGACTTCTCTGATTTCGGTCGTCTCTACTCCTTGGTGGATCTCTTAAGAAAATTGATCCAAATAATGTCGCTGCAAAGTGGATAATACAAATTTATTAATTACAGTAACAAGTAATTACAACCTAAAAGTAAAACCTTACCGAGAGTTTTCGCATCTAATTCATTGTCTTGAGTATGATTTAGTAACTCTTTTAAAAAATAACATATGTACAGAAAAACTGTTTTCCTTATCTCTGGAAGTTGCATTACAATCTAAAAACAAATTATGAAGAAGTGACCTATTATTATGTACATAATATTTGTTCCCTATAAACAATTTAAATTTGTCGATTTGTATACCTGATTGCACTGTAAGTAATTTACAGCTGCTGATAAGCATACGCTATGCAGATTATACGGAATCAATGGTTCAGCTGTTGACTCTAAAAGTAAGAGTAATGCTTCTGCAACAGAATGTACGCTACCAGCTTTGTAAAAGTTAAGGAATCAAAATGAATTGTAGCATATAGTCTTTTCAAGTTTTACATTCAAAGAAGGATACGCATTGGATCTTGACTCCAATTGTCTAACCAATCTCTTATAGCTATAATTTCACTGTGAAGTCCTGGTGTCTCAAAAAGTCCAGCCGTTTTTAT